GAAGTTCTGAGCAATTCTGTTTCTAAATTACAGTTAATAGAGGGGCCCTTGGTGATTTTAAGAAAACTCTGGATGGATTTTTTTTTTTTTGTCTTTTTGAGAGAGGGTGTCACTGCAGTTCAGGCTGGCCTTGAACTCACTTCATAGCCCAGGCTGGCATCAAACTTGCAGTGATCTTCCTGCCTCAGCCTCCCAAGAGATGGATACTTTTGACTTGAGAAATGGCTCCATCGAAAGCAAAGAGCTCCCTCTTCCCTGTCTTTCTTTGCTTTAGTGTTGTGCCAGTTTCCAAATGAACTGAAAAGAGTTGGGTGTCCAGAAGTGGTGTCCACTGGAAGAATTTCATCAGTTAGACCGACTTATGGTGGGAGAGAGGATTACTGGCCTTCGAGACTGGGGTGTCATCTGCACAGTGATGAGGCTTATTTTGTATCCTAGAAGACAGAAATAAGGTTACTTCTTTGAAAGACCCCTCCATTTGGCTTGAGGCAGGGCATTTTTTATTACAGTGCCTTGTGTTACCATAACTGACATAGAAAGCTTGAAAAAACCCTAGAAAGTCATTATCACTCCTCTGGCCAAATAGTAAAACACTCCCAGACCACGAAAGTGTCCTGTGTCTCTCCCTATTGCCACCTCTCCCCTGCCTGCTAGAGAATCCCTCTGGGGACTTCGGTGATACTCACTGTTTCTCCTCTTCCTGGTTTTGTAACTTAGGCAGGTGTCCCCAGCTGCGATGACTTGTTCTTTGCTGTTGCAACTTTTCATGTTGCCTGTATTCTTCTAGTGGATTAAGAGATGCATGATTTTTTTTTTTTTTTTTTTTTTGGTAACCGGCATCATGTGCTGAGTTCAATACCTGGGACTCTCTCGTCCTTTGGTTTTCATTGTTGCGAGGTTTCCTGTTGTGGGGATAGAACCCAGGGTAATTGGCCACTTCCTGTGAGTGGTTGCCCCCCCCTCTCCCGCCCCTGGTGCTTGGCTTTGACGGGGAACACGCGTGAGCATTTGTGTACCTGTTTCTTCTGATCCTCAGGTGACACCCGGAAGTGGTAGAGTGGTTGCCATGGAGATGAACATCTGTAGTCCCGAAAGAAAATGACAAGCAGTCCTCTAGAGCAGTCCTCTAAAAGTATTTGTTGGGCAGGAATGAGAACCCTATTGTAGTCTGCACTTGGTGTGGTCAGATTTTAAAATTCTGGCAATCTTACAGGCGTACTGTACAGTGGTGTCTTCTTTAGGCTTAACTTTTATTTACTAGCTCATAATGATTTATTCATTTATTTATTTATTTATTCATTCATTCATTCATTCATTTGCAGTACTAGGGATTGAACCTAGGGCCTTCTCACTAAGCTATATCTCCAGCTCATTTTTATTTTTATTTTATTTTATTTTATTTTTTTGAGGCAGGGTCTCACTAAGCTGCTAAGTAGCAGAGGTTGTCCTCGAACTTGGCATCCTTCTGCCCCAAGCCTCCCAGACTGCTGGGCTTATAGGTATGCACCACCACACCCAACTTCATGGGGATTTCAGTGTGGGTCTTCCTTTTGCCTTTGGGTCCCAACATCCCCCTTGGTCTGACGTGGTTTTGTTGGGAGTCCATTGGTGGCAGAGGTTGTTGGTTGCTGAGACCCTTGTTTTTCTAAGAGCTGCATATGAGTTTTGCCCCAGGGAAGTTTTTAAAAAGGTGCTAATTGAAACATGAGGAATGAAATATTCTGGGACTCCAGGTCCCAGGAGTCTGTTTTAGACTAATTGTGCGGGTGATCATTACGCAGGTGACATATGCAGAAGGAAGCAAGCACAGCCCTGGAAGCTGAGGGTGTTGTGTAGGCGGGGCCTTGCACACCCCCATGCCCTTTGGCCTGGGCTACCCTCCTGCTCCTTCCCGCTCCCCTCCTCTCAGCATGGGGTCTGCAGACCCTTGCTGGTCACCTTGGCGAGGAGAATGTGTGTGTTTATCCACAATCCATTTACATCACTAGGAAAGTAGCATTTGAGCTTGTTCTGTGTTCCATTGGTAGAGATGTGGGTGTAACACTGATTTGGGGGGCTGCTTTTAAGTTTATATTTTTTATATTTTTTGCATTGCTGGAGATCAAACCCAGAGGTGCCTACCACTGAATTACATCCACAGCCCTTTTTATTTCAGTTTGTCATTTTAATTTTGAAGCAAGGTCCCGATAAAAGTTGCCCAGATAGTACTTGAATTTGCTACCCTCCTACCCCAGCTTCCCACAGGTGTGTGCTGCACCCAGCAAGGGCTGCTCTTATTGATTTGTTGAGGACTGTAATAGTTTTGAACTGTCCTGAAATTTAAGTGATTTTACTCTAAATTTATTAGAAATTAATTATTAGTGTATAATAGAAGGCCTAGTTCCAATGGAGAGGTCATTAACACCCTCTGCCTTGCTGCATGTGACAGTTTCTATGTTTTTTTCATGAAAGGGAGAAAAAATTTGAAGCAGTTGATGAAATGTACTAATTTTGTCCAAAAATTAAAAGGAACAAGTGAAATGAATGTTCACAATCTATTTTATTCAACAAGTACATTCAAAATACTTTACTACTCTATTTCCCCCAATGTAAGGCCCAGTGTTATATTCCTTTTTGCTACACAAGACTTGATAGGGCTTCTTCTTTTTTTAGTGGAATCAGGAACTGAACTCAGGACCCGCACTTGCCAGGCAGGTGCTGTGCCACTGAGCTATATCTCCAGCCCAGATGGGGCTTATTTTCGGGAGATGTCTTAATTTTTTCACTGCAGCAATCTGCATTTATTCAAGTACAACAATCTGCACTTACTCAAATGTAGTCAGGTCAACTTCTTCTGGAACATCATCATACCTCTCCAGACCCCAATTCTGGCCTGAATTTCTTGTGACTCCATTTCCTGTAGAACCCCTGGCCCAAATCTCTCATGTCCAGCAGCGGCGCTCTCCCTAGAGGAGCCATCTTGTCCTGCAGTCTGTTCGGAGTGCATTGGCAACGTAGCTGTCCGGGGTTTTATCCCAGGAATTCTTCACCCAAATCACGACCTCTTCCGGGAGGGCTTCACAGAGTTTCCGTGAAATCAAGTGTTGGTGAAGACTGCCGGGGCAGGGTTGGCAGCAGAAGTGATGGCGGTTAAGAATGGTGGGGTGCACAAGAGGGCTGGGAAACTGCAGGCACCAAAATTCAGAAAAAAGTATTTCACATGAGGACACTAAGTGCAGCATGGGTGTTTAGTGCGTCACCATGTATGCCCATGATGCGTGCGCCACGTCTGCTCCATCATTCGGTAGTAAGTCCCGAGTGCGTCTGTTTACGTGGGTGTTTATCTCTCCTCCAATGACACCCGTTTGGGTATCTACAATTCTTAATTATAACTTATACTGCCATTTATTTCAAGTATTAATGTCAATAATATTTATACTTAATTATATATTAATGTCATTTTATAATTCAGTACATCCATTGTGTGTTGCAGTAGGCATACTAAATATGTCTGTCTGACAATCGTAGCTGGGGCTTATTTTGGGGGTAGGGCTTATTTTGGGTGGATATTTAATACAGTACTTTACATTCCCACCAACAGTGTGGAAGGGCTTCTCTTTTTCTTTGTTTTGTTTTGTTTTTAAATAGACTTTTGGGCAAAGTTCTGGTTCAGAAGGTTCTACTCAGAATCTGACGTGAAGCTTGGGCTCATTTCTTCATCTGAAAGGTAGTGACACTGAGGATAGATGGTCACAAAGATTCTCTACGGCCCTCGATGTCAGGAGACCCGGATGCGCCTGCAGTGATCGTGCTGAGCCACGTGTTTTGCTGAAGTCCCAGCGCGGTGCTGCGAGGGCCCCGCAAGGTTGGGGCCACTGACCGCTCTCGCTGCAGGCCACTCATCACCTGCTGTGTGACACTGCCCTCTCGGGGCCCGTCCTGTGGTGTTCCTGAAGCACTCGGCCTCATACTTCTAGAAAGGCGTGCTTGACTCTTGACTGAATTTTCTTATGTATGGTTTTTGGTGGGGTGGTAGTTGTTAGGTTCTAAAACTACCCTGGGCAAATAAAAACAGAAAGACAGGAAGGAAGGCAGGAAGGAAGGGAGGGAGGGAGGGAGGAAGAAAAAAGAAAAGAGAGAGAAAAAAAAAGAAAGACAGAAAGAGAAAAAGTAGGAAAGAAAGGAAGAGGAGAGAACTACTCAGGCTAGTGCTGGCCTCAACACTTACAGATTTCCTGTCATAGCTGGTCTAAATTTTTTGTTAAGATATATTTAAAAGAAGGCATCAGGATGTTTGGAAGCTTCTAATCTATAAGAAGCTGACTGGATGTGTGTCATTACTCGTATCAGGAATACTAATTTGCTCAGTGCCTTTGCTTTTAGTGAGTTTTTGCAGCACTTGTGATGCGTGAGGAAGGCCCGAGGGCGGAACCTTGTGGGAGCCCCCCAGTCTGCGTCTCCGAGGACAGGGGTGTCTTGGATGTGCTCACCACACCCCACCGTGTCCCTCTGTATGAAAGCTGTCTTGTCCCTGAGCGGAGGTGTCCTTTATTCTGTCACATCACACCCCAGTCTTTAGACAGGTGTCCCTGTCCCTGACCCCATGGGTGCGCTGTGCTTTACATTTCCCTGTCTGCTGGGCTCTTCCAGGTGCCTCTCTGTCCACACCTCCCCACCTGGGCGCACCTGTCCCCAGCCACAGGCAGTGTAGACCCAGGGCTGTGACCCATGGCTTCGAACTTGAGGCTCGTTGGTTACTGTTACTATTTTTGTGCTTGTTTTTAAACTGGAAGATCTAAATTTTGTATAACTGTAGTGGTGTGTATGTGTGTGTGTGTTGAGAATTTAAATATAACTTCAAATGACAAAATGCATGTCTAGGGGCTGGGGATTTAGCTCAGCCACTCAGCACCTGCCTGGCAAGCGCAAGGTCGTGAGTTCGATTCCTGGTACCAGGAAAAAAAAAAAAAACCCAAAATGCATGTCTGTTACTAATACCCAGTTTTAATTTTTCTCTACAGGTCAACTTTGTCGTGTGCCAACTCTTTGCCTTGTTAGCTGCTGTTTGGTTTCGAACTTATCTACATTCAAGCAAGACTAGTTCTTTTATACGACATATAGTTGCTACCCTTTTGGGACTTTATCTTGCATTTTTTTGCTTTGGATGGTAAGTAATGATTTTGGTCATGTTTAAATCAAGACTTACTTGAATATATTTGAGAATTGATCGTGTAGAAAGATACATTATGTAGGGCTTTGTTCTTCAGTTTATTTATTACTCAAGGCCAACTTTTAAAATACTTACTTTTAATACTGAAACAGAGGACAGGCCGGGTGTGGTGGAGCACGCCTGTAATCCCAGCGTTTGGGGGCTGAGGCAGGAGGATCGTTGCGAGTTCAAGACCAGCTTGGGCTACAAAGTGAGCTCAAGGCCAGCCTGAACTGCATAGTGAGACCCTGTCTCAAAAAGACCAAAAAAAAAAAAAAAAGAAACAGAGATCAGAAAGGAGCTGTCTTTGGTTTGGTCTTAGAGGTGACTCATTTATTCAGGATTAGTATTTTGGTGAATCCATGTTTATCATACATAATGATCACACTCATTGTAGGGAGTTGATCCACACACATCTTAATTTTTTTACTCCCACCTCCCTCCACATTGAGAGAGGGGTTTGTTCATAATGAAATGAAATAGGACAGATGAAAGAAGGGTGTGTAAAGACATGTTATCCCACCCCAAGTGGTTCTCATCTGTTTTGCAAATCTTGATTGCAGAGCATAAAAGATTTTATTTTACCTTTTTTTTTTTTGTCTTTTTGAGACAGTTTCTCACTATGCAGTTCAGGCTGGCGTTGAGCTCACTTTGTAACCTAGGCTGACCTGGAACTCACATCGATCCTCCTGCCTCAGCCTCCTGAGTTCTGGGATTATAGGCGTGGGCCACCATGCCCGGCTAAAGATTTTTTTTTTTTAAAATGGGGTTTTCAAAGCTTGTTTTGGTTTTGGTTCTTTTTTCTGTGCAAGTAGCTTTTAGGGGTCTGACAAAGACAGTGGCTCCCATTAGCAGGAAAAGAAAGGGTTGTGTACATTCTTGCGGGGAAAGACCGCTGAGTGTAGCCCTCTGGAAGGGGTCTGCGGGCCAAGCGGGACCCTTTCCTGCCGGACGAAGCGTCCCTTCCGGGCTTGCTCTCCAAGGAGCCAAGCAGCTGGCACGGGGACCTGGCTGCCCTCTGCAGCTGCGGCTGGGACAGAGGTCCCAGAAGGGAAGAATTTGCTCCGTCCTCCCCGATGGCTTCGGTTGGAGGGTGGGCGCCTGCGGGGCTCTGATAAGGCTTCTGTGTTCCTTCCAGGGTGGTGTTTGGACTCTGAGGAGGGCTGGACACACACTGTTTTTTCCTTCAGTGCTGGAGAGCAAACCTGGGGCCTCTTGCAGGCTAGGCAGGCTGTCCCACTGAGCCACCGGCAGCTACACACCAGTCTGTCTTTTTCTTCCTTTTTCTTTTTCTTTCTCTTTCTCTCTCTCCCAACACCGCCCTCCCTCTTTCTTTCCCTCTCTCCTTTCCTTCCTTCCTTCCATTGATTTTTGAGGCAGAGTCTTGGTCTGTAATTCAGCCTGGCATTGAGCTCACTGTGTAGCCTACGCTGGCCTCTAACTTGTGGTGATCCTCCTGTCTCAGCCTCCTGCCTCAGCACCACTATGCTTGGCAAATTTTATGTACTGCTTTCTGTGTGCTTTCAGCTTTTAAATGATCACTTGCAAGCTTCGTTTAATTGAGAGTTAGTTAATGTAGAACTTTTTTATTTAAATATCTTTCTAACATTATATTATAGCATAATGAAACAGCCTAGATTTTGAGATCAGACAGACCTGGATTGGGCCTGGCACCCTTGCCTGACAGCTTTCTGCCTGGAGACCTGTTATTTAACCCTTCCTAACTTTCCTCTCTGTCCAGTGGAGCCAGTCAAGCAAACAAACTGTGCAGACTTGAGGTGCTTGGGACCAGAAGTGTTTCCAGTTTTGAGTTTTCCAGACTTGAGAATGTTTGCAAAGACTTGCCTAGTCTTCCAGCTGCAATCCAGAAGGCTCTCTTGGGATGCTAGACCATGTTAGTCATCCCACTGGGGTTCCAGACTGGAAGTCTGTGTGCTGATCCCATCTCACTGGCAGTGTCTGCCCCTCAGCATCATAGTAGCCTGCTTTTTCCTTCTCTCTGTAGCCAGGGGTCTTTCCGATGTTTTTGGTACAGGGGTTTTCAGGAAGTGGACACCAAGTGCCCGGCTGTAGTTCAGTGGTTCAGCGCTTGAGCAGTGTACACGAGGCCCTGGGTTTGATCCCCGGCCCTAACCAAGACAGACATCCAGAAAGGACGAGCTGAACAGTCAGAACGCATGCTGTCTCACTCAGAAAATTAATTTTGTTCCTGTCTTTATTGTGTTTTGGATTCAAAGTGAAATGTGTTATCGGCACTTTTATATTTGGAGTGCTTAAGTGCTTTGAAAGATCGAGAGGTACCCCTTCCACCTTGCCCGCCCCTGGAAGGAGCTGCAGTGGATAAGTGGGAAGACTTCCAAGGCTTTCTTGATAATTTTTACTTTGCTGGTGGTGGTTGGGAGCTTACTGCACCAGATAAGCCAGGTGACACTTCTCTTGTTCACCCTCAGGCCCTGCAAAGCCCGCCTTGGCCCTTCTGTTTTTCTGACAGGGCCCTCGGGGCTCCATGGGGCGGAGCCTGCGCTCTAAGTAGAGCCGCTGGGTGCTTGTTGCAGAGCGGGTCAAAGCAGAGGATGCGGACAGGACTGCGGTGATAAGCATGGCGTTTTGGGTAGCGGTGCTATCCAGCGGGCAGCTGCCAGATGTTGCCCACACCCACAGGATTGAAAAGCCTGTTGTCACCTGGCATCTGAGCCCTGACACCAGCGGAGTGGGCGCTAACACCACACAGGCCCTTAGCGATGGGGGAAGCACACCTGTTAGGGTCTGCGTTGTCCAGTCTCCCATCCCTAGCACGTTTACTCATAGGAAAGGAAAAACAAAAATGCCCGGAGTACTAAAATTTTTTTTAAGATGAATACCTTTGATGAGTTCTACTCTCAATTTTAAAAGCCCTTAAAAGTACCTGTCAGTTCCCTTCACCACATTCACGTTAAATCTGTAGTGAATTCTTAGTGTCGGCAATAAATAAGAAGTGGAAAATTAATTTTGAAAAGTGTGTTTCCATCAGGTTTGTTTTTTTGCCAAGGTCTCACTATACAGTTCAGGCTGCGCTCACTATATAGTCCAGAGTGACTTTGAACTCTGGGCAATCCTCCTGCCTCAGCCTCCCGAGTGCTGGGATTACAGACCTGCGCCACCGTACCTGGCTTCAATTTTTTTTTTTTTAAGCTCGCTTTTATTTAAGCTTTCTTCATGTGTGGCTGCTCTGCTGCCTCCCAGCCCTCTTATTATAGCAGTGCTGCAGGCTGGCAGAGCCTTCTGTGTGTGTATGTGAGGCGGCAGCAGGCAGGCTGGCCTACCCTGCCCCGTGGGGAAAGTCATTTCTTCCAAGGCTTGCCCCACAGCTGACCCCTTATTTATAATAAATCTATGGAAAAAAAGGGTTCAAAATGTCAAGTAACTTTTCCCTGGTACCTGTCCTTCCATAATGACTTAAGTTAAAAAGTCATTTTAATCATTGACTAAGATCCTTATGAATACTTTACAGAGTACACAAAGATTTGAAATTTTTATCATAAATTTTTTATGTCACAAAAGTGGAAAGAAAATTGAGGGAAGAGGGAGGGAGAAAGAAAATCTCACATATATGCATAATCTTAGGGGTGGTTTAGATTTTTAATCCCAGAGGTCCTGATCATATTTTGCCTGAATTTTGTGAAATGAATAGATGAATTCATTTTCTCATTAATGGTTGCTTTCTGCATTAAGACATTAAAAAATACTGGGTCGCCGGGCATGGTGGCGCACACTTGTAATCCCAGCATTTGGGAGGCTGAGGCAGGAGGATCCTTGTGAGTTTGAGACCAGCCTGGGCTATAAAGTGAGCTCAAGACCAGTCTGAACTGCATGGTGAGACCCTGTCTCAAAAAAGACAAAGAAAAGAAATACTGGGTCATGTATGCCAAGAATGCCTCGGAGATACCTTTCAGCAGGTTAACTCATGGGAAGGTTTCTAGAAGGAAATTTGAATGACTTAAGAACAGACTTAGGAGGACCTTTATTTTTTCTGTAAGTTAAAATACTTCATCCTTTCCGTTGTTTTGTGAGTAATATCATTCAGAAGATAAAAGAAGGGCCACGCTGTAGCTGGAGAAGTTAGTTTGGGAAAATAACATGTTCCATCAGGACTTTGCTGAAATCCACGTTTATTATGCCTTTGTTTTTTCCTTGTGCTTTGAGTTATGAAGGAAGCTGTAATCCTTGAACCACTAACCCCATGCGCCTTCCGTTGCTAGGTGACAGGGAATGCCGGGGCACTGTGCGTAACTTCATTTTCCCAGCCCTCCTAGGGCCTGAGTCCTGTATCCAGCACTCCCTCTCCACGGTGTTCCCAGAATTTTAGTCAGGATTTAGGATTTTAATTTCTGTATTTTTGGTTTTATGAGACAGCATCTTGCTGTGTAGTTGAGACTAGCCTTGAACTCACAGAGATCCTCCTGCCTCAGCTTCCCAGGGGCTGGGATTGCAGGGGTGTGTCACCATGCCTGTCTCCTTTTATTCTGTATTTTCTATCTGGGTATATTCTAGGTTCTACCTGAGTACTTTTTAGCCTAAATGAATTTGATGTCCCTCTTTGAATTTGATGTCTGTGATTTCCAACACTATTTGTGCTTTTTGTAGGTATGCCTTACATTTTCTTGTACAAAGTGGGATCTCCTACTGCATCATGATCATCATAGGAGTGGAGAGCATGCACAAGTGAGTACCCCTGCTTCTCAGCCAATGGTGCATTCTGATCTGTAGAGCTGGATCAGAGCTGGGTGTGGTGACTCACATCTGTAACCCCAGCATTCCGGAGGCTGACACGGGAGGATTACTGTGAGTCTGAGGCCAGCCTGGCCTACATAGTGTGACACTGTCTGAAGAAACAAAAATAAATGAATAAAAGTGAAGGAACACTAAGAGCCCTCAGTTTGAAGGACGTTAGGTTTATTTTGGCTCATGCTTTAGTCCGTAGTCGGCTAGCTCCGAGGCAGGGCAGCGTCGCAGAGGGGCCTGGTGGCGGAGGAGAGCTGCTCACGGTGTGGCGGACAGGAAGCAGAGACAGGGCAAGGGAGCCAGAGGCGAAGGGGTGAGGGATGATAGCATCCCAGGCACGTCCTGTCCCCAGACCCACACCCTTCAGCCAGGCTCCACCCTCGCGTGCCACCACCCCCAGCCATCATTTCCCGCAGGGGCAGCTCTTGCTGGCAAATTCCTTAAGGAGTGAAAGACATCGTATCACAGCGATCCACACACACCCGTTTATGGCAGCACAGCAGACAGTCCTGGTCGGGGCTTGTATGTCTGTCAGCATCTGAATGCATAAAGGAAATGTGTTTGCACACCACAGAGTACTACTATGCTAGGAAGAAGGATAAACTTGGGTCAAGTGTAGGAAAATGGATGCACCTGGAGGACATAATGCTGAGTGGAATGAATCAGACACAAAGCTTAAATATGAAGTATAGGGGCCTGGGGATTTAGCTCAGTGGCAGAGCACCTGCCTGGCAAGCGCAAGGTCATGAGTTCGATTCCTGGTACCGGAAAAACAACAACAAAAATATGAAGTGTAGATGAGTGAAAGAGCCAAATAAGGAGTGAGTAATAGGAAGCAGGGGGGCCTTCTGGTGATGGGAGGGGACGTGGGGACGGAGGAGGAGGAGGCGTGGGAAAGGAGGGGGAGGGGAGGCAAAAAGCACTGAAATGCAACGCGTGCAGAGACCAGCTGCCCACCGTGAATGTCCTCATTGTGGACCACGAACACGGGCTGATACAGCGATGAAACCACGAATGAATGAATGCACGGCAGAGGTCAGAGCCCTCCTGGTCACTTCCTGAAAGCCCCCGCCAAATGTCACGGCACCAGGGACCCAGCCTCGACTTCTTGACCCTTCCAGGAACGCCTCAGACCCCACCGTGGTGGCGGCAGCGCAGCGGGCCGCGCGCCCTCCCGCCGCCCAATGGACTTCTGTGGGTGGGCGTGGGAACCCGAGCACCCTTCCTGTGTTTTGTGCTTTTTAGCTTTTCTATGGGAAAAATTCTTTTTGTTTTGAGTTCTGAAGAACAGTCTTGAGAGCTCTGGAGCCCGGCGCAGGGGAGCTGCTCTTGGGTTGGCCTGAACAGCAGCAGCGCGGGGCAGCCCTGGGCGGTGGAGCGGAAATAGTGTCTTTACAGCCCGGCCAGTGATTTTCCACAAAATAAACGGCCTGAAGAAAGCCCTGAAGGACAAGAGGCAGACGCCGTGAAGCTGCGTGTGTGCTGTGTGACCCACGGCCCGTGGAATGGTTTTGCAGGAGGTGCAGGAAGGAGGTCTTCAGCCTCCCATCCTGTGGCTCAGCTGCACCAGGCCTGCGTGGCCTCCCCGTGTGCCACAGCATTCCCAGAGCTTCGGGCTGACCCGGGTGAGCTGCGCCCGGCCTGGACCTTCTCTGAGCCCCTGGTATGGATTGCGTGTCAGTTTCCGTACAGGTTCTGCTCCGCTGCTCCTCCTCCTCCTCTGAAGGGGACATGCGGGGAGCACTCGGCCAAGCAGTGCAGAGGTGGCGCTGGCTCTGTCTTGGTCCTCGTGGCCCTGCAGGGCGGGTGAAATTGGGAACCACATTCACTTGTGGCCCGTCTGGACTGCCTGGACTCCCGCCACGCGCCCTCCCTGATAGCAAGGTGTCTGAGTCACCGGGCTCTGCTGGTCTCGAGGGAGACAGCAACCTCCTGCCTGTGACAGCTTGTCCTCTGAGGCCAGTTAGCAGCACTTAGCGGCTTGGAGCTCAGAGACCTTGACCCGGGCTGAGGACAGTGTCTTGATCCTAGGAGACACAAAACATGGCGGGAAGGGGAACTTTAGAATTTCCCTTTCGTATTCCCGGCGACGTGGTATTTGACACAGTGAGTTCAAGACCAGCCCGGACCTGCACCTCGAGACCCTGACTCAACAAGAGCAAACAAAGGAGGCCGCATCAGAGGGAGGAAGGGCGGCCGCATGGACGCCAAGAAGGGGCACAGAGCAGCTGGGTGCGGTGCTCGTCCCGTTCTCACCAAAGCTGCTGTAAAGGAAACTGCAGTTGGGAGAGTGGCATGAAGACTAAGGAAAGATGAACTTTTCCTCACGTGGAAAAGTGGAGATCATTATGTGAAAAGAGCAGGCTGTTAAGTAATGCGCAAAATAATCTGATTCTTGGTCAAAACACAAAACTGCCCGGCGCGGTGTGCACACCTGTAATCCAGCACTCTTTGGAGGCTGAGGCAGGAGGATCCCTGGAAGTTTGAGGCCAGCCTGAACTACACAGGGAGACCCTGTAGCAAAAATCCACAAACAAAAGAAAACAAAAAAGGTAGCCATATGTGAAGGAGGGGAAAACCTTGAGAAGTGCCTTGGGCAGCATTGTCACCTGTGACCGTCATTGTGTGCTGACCCAATCCAGATGGGACAGGTCGCCTTCTCAAGGTGGCCTCGTGACGCAGCTGAGATGCAGAAACAGCTGGGTGTGGCGGGGGGTGTCAGAAATCCCACCAGTCGGGAGGCTGAGGCAGGAAGACCGAAGGTTGGAGCCCAGCCTGGCCAGCTTAGTGTCTTAGTGAGACCCCACTTCAAAATAAAAAACTTAGAGGGCAGGGGCTGTAGATGAGGGCAAAGGCCTGGTTCAGTCCTCAGTACTACCAGAAAGCAAAAAAGTATGCCATGTTTTCTGTTTTAGTAAAACCAGGAGGATTGGATTAGGGGGCTCGTGTGCCTTTCCCTTTATATACTTTAGACTGGAAACTTAGGCTTTAGGCCGGGCGTGGTGGCGCATGCCTGTAATCCTAGCACTCAGGAGGCTGAGGCAGGAGGATCATTTCAAGTTTGAGACCAGCCTGAGCTACAAAGTGAGCTCAAGGCCAGCCTGAACTGCGTAGCGAGACCCTGTCTCAAAAAGACAAAAAAAAAAGAAAGAAAGAAACTTAGGCTTTACAATGAGTAAGTCATAGTTAATGTTGTTTTTTAGATGAGAGCAGCCTCTGGCAGACCTGGTGTAAAGGGCCAGGTGTTTGGGACCTGTTTTCTATCACTGATCATCTGTGTGCCTAAGCGGAGAAAGGGCACAAAGGCGTGGGCGCGACAGTGTCCCCAGGACCGTCATGTGCTCGGAGCCTGAAGGGAGGAGCCCAGTTTGGCCCGGGTCTCAGTTTGCCGAGTGCTGTATCGGAGTATTTTATCGTATGCCCTAAACACAGCTCTCTTCCGGCAGAGGTGCACAGGCACTGCAGCTGCGGAGCCAAACAGAGACTCTTTGTTTCTCACTAGCGTCTGAGCCCTTGGCAGGAGGAGGTTTATTGACCTTTCATAATTAGTGTTTCGCACCTGAAAGTGCCCTGCATGCAAACCCGTTCTTTCTCCTGGCTCAGAATAATGATTAGCCTGAAACTTTTTCATAGGCTTTTATTTTTTAAGACAGGGTCTCACTGTGTAGCCCAGGCTGACCTTGAACTTGAGGTGATCCTCCTGCCTCAGCCTCCTGAATGCTGGGGTTGCAGGGGTGCGCCATCACGACGGGCACACGTCCACAGGCGTTTAACACAGGAACACGCGGCTCATCTGCCAGCCCCGAGCTCATGTGTTGTCTCTTCAGCCGCACGTTGGGAAGCTTCTGTGGATGCAGATAATTAAAAAGTGCTCACTGCAGATAAATCCTCCGTGCTGTGCCGTGGCGGCAGACTGCTTGCGGGCGGCTGAAATACCATCGGGACTGCTCATCACCGTGTAGATCCGAGGAGCACGCGGTTTGCTGGGGGGAGCACGGGGCTCTGCTTCCTGTCACCACTGTCACTGCCCTGCAGGAAGCCCATGTCCTCTCTGCAGTCTGTGCCCTCTTCCTGCCCCCCTGGCCCTCAGCCATGCCTGCGTCCTGCTTCTCCAGCTGCTGGTCTCTGACTCGGGGAGGCTGAAACACTGGAGGTGCATGCTCCTGTGATCTTGGGTCCGGGGTCCAGGGACCTGGCTCACGCCCCAGCCTGTTGGCCATGTTGAGGGGAATGGAGGAAACAGACAGACAGACGTAGAAGTGAGGTTACCTTAGAGAGAACAGCGACCAAAGGTTTAGATAAGATCCCGGAAGGGGGCGTGGTATGTATGGGTGAGAACAAAGGCCTGGGACGGAGCCAGCTGCGAAGGGAACACGTTCCAGAGCTTCCGGACTCACCCATGTTCAGAGACCAGAGAAGGAAGCTGGGCATGGTGGCGCATCCCTGTAATCCTAGCACTGGGGAGGCTGAGACAGGAGGATCTCTGTGAGTTAGAGGCCAGCCTAGGGTACATAGTGAGACTCTGTCTCAAAAAAAAAAAAAAACACAAAACAAAAAGCCCAAACAAACAAGTGAATAAATGGAAAGAAATTATCCATGTTGTGTTTACCAAAATTCTGTTTCTTTGTATTGCTGGATAACCTTCCATCATATGCACTGTGTACCTCAGTCCACGTGTCCTTTCACCTATTCATGGACACTGACATGATTTCAAAATTGAGGTTGTTGGGAGTAAAGCTTGTGAAACATTTTTGGAGAATTTTTTTTTGACCAGGAATCAAACTCAGGACCTTGTGCTTGCCAGGCAGGCTCTTGTGCCGCTGAGCTATATCCCCGGCCCTTGTAAAACATTCTTACACCAGACTTTCTGTGGGTTTAGGCTTTCATTAGGAGAGCAATTGCTAGGCATAGGGTAAAAGTTGTAATCACATAAGAAACTACCACACTTTCTAGGAGTGGTTGTAACCTTGTTCCTTTCCTCGCAGTGTGTGTGAGACCCATTACTGTGCGCCTGGCCCGATCAGTCTGTTCTATAGCACCTCGCTGTGATTTTAATTTAGAGTCCTCTGATAACTAATGCTGCCACATTCATCTTGCTGTGTGTTGACTACCTGTACATCTTTTGGGATGCATTGTCTTTAAATCTTTTGGTGATTGGACTTTGCGGTTATAATTCATTCTTTCTGTATTTTGGATATCAGTCTTTTGTCAGGTGTCTAAATTGTGGGTATCTTCTTTCAATCTGTGATTTGCCTTTTCATTTTCTCAGGGATGGCTTTGGAAGAGCAGAACTTTTCAGTGTAGATGAAGTCAATTAAGCAATTTTTAAAAAAGTGTTACAGGTTTTTAAAACGTTACAGGTTTTTATAGGTTGTCTTTTCCAAGAAAATTTTGCCAGCCCTCGGGATGTTAATATTTTCTGGTGGAAGTTCTTAGTTTTAGTTCTTATGCGTCTGTCAGCAATTCATACTGAGTTAATTTGTTGTTGTTGTTGTTGTTGAGAGAAAATCTTGTTGTTTAGCCCAGGCTGGCCTTGAAGTCACAGTGATTCTCCTGCCTCAGCCTCCCAAGTGCTGGGGTCACAAGGTGTGCACCACCACACCCAGCTTTTGAGTTAACTTTTATGTATGTCATGAGGTAAGGGTTGAAGTTCGTTTTTTTCTCTATACATGTGTTGAGTTGTCCCAGCACGACTTATTGCAAATACTTTTTCCTAGTGTTTCTAGTTCATTAATTCCCACTGTCCCTGAGCAACGTGATTTTCTTTGCAGTTTGCCCTCTGTGTCTAGTGCCGAAATGAATACGTATTTCAGGTTTAGTTTCATCTTCGGAAGTCAGGTGTTGGAAACAAATTCAACATCCGTGTTTTTAATAAGTAAAAGAATGTGCTGTTCTGGGACTCTTTTATTTGTTGATTATTTCATTTTGATAGAAGCAGTGACAGTGCCGGGGTGCTTTTGGCTGCAAAGAGCAGAAATCCCCTTTCGGTGCTAGCATGGTATAGATGAGAGGGAAAGCATTCTCGCTGAAAGGCTCAAAGGTGAAGTCAAGCTGGGTGTGCTGGTGCTCGCCTGTGACCCCAGCACCTGGGAAGCTGAAGCAGGAGGATTGCCGAGAGTTCAGAGTTATCCTGGGCCATGTAGTTAGCTCAAGGCCAGGCTGGACCACATAGTGAGACCCTGTCCACCGCCCCCCGCAAAAAAAATCTTCCCTTTTCACCAATGCAGCTCACTTTTGTTTTCCAGATACTGTTTCGTGTTCGCTCTGGGATACCTCACAGTATGCCAAATCACCAGGGTCTATATCTTTGATTATGGACAATATTCTGCAGATTTTTCAGGGTAAGATGAAAGCTGCGATTCAGTAGCTTGTTTATTCTGTTTTAACATTGGCTAAAACCCAAAATGCAGGCGAGTCAGAGTCCTGGCGAAAAGCTCTTCTTCCGTCTTAGTTCAGAACTTCTTCACGGGTTTAGATTTTTTTTTCTGTCTAGTAATTGGTCTTTTATAATAATGTATGTCACAAAAATAACCCATGCTTTTAAATTGCCTTATATAAGGTTTCAAAAAAATATTGCAATTAACGTTTCCCTATGACATTCTGGTATTAAGAGCATTTTCTAATTCTAGTAGAGATTTCAGAACTTTTTTATGGTTATTGGAAGCCAGCACACGAGCCATCATGCTTTCTGTGCTCCTTCTCTCTCCCTCCCCGCTGTCTCTGACACTGTCTCTATGTACATGGCTCTCTATCTCTCTTGTCTGTTTCTATCTGTGTGTCTCTGTCTTCTCCTCTCTCTGTCTCTGTCACTGTCTCTGTCTGTCTCTGTGTCTCTGTCTTTCTCTGTCTCTGTCTCTCTCTATCTCTGTCTCTCCCTGTCTATCTCTGTCTCTCTATCTCTGTCTGTGTCTGTGTCTCTGTCTCTCTCCAACACCGTCACTGTCTCCAGCCGTGGTGAGAGAGCAGCTGTCCCCTGCTTCTCCAGAGGGACTCGTTCCTCTTTGGAGCCGACGCCTCTGTCCTTTTGCCGCTGCCCTGTCCTGGCTGGCTCAGTGCAGATCCTCGAAACCGCCTGCTCTCCTCTCTGTGAAAGGAAGGGCGCCACCCTGCTGCTCAGAGTAGCACATGGCTTAAATCTCAGGTGTTGCTTTTTCTGAAACCGTCTTACTATTTTCAGCCTGAAGTTAACCTCGGGTAACAGGGAGCAGAGCAGCAGAACCCTGTCTGTCCACGGGCCGCTTAAATGTGTTCTGTCCAGAAAGCAGTGTCGCGAGCGGCACTGGCCTTGGAGGATGTTTTTTGTCGTTGTGGGTGTTTGAGACAAGGTCTGACCACGTAGTCCAGGCCGGCCTTGAGCTCATGGCAATCCTCCTGCCTCAGCCTCCTGGCTGTGTGCATCACGCCCGGTTCCCACCATTACCCCGCTCGAGCTCAGCAGACCTAAAGCTGAACTCTGGGTCCCCTTTGTGCGGCTCCCGCCTTCCTCCTCCTGGGCTACCTTGGGCCCAGACCTTGATCCGGTCTTGAGTCACTTCCCCAGTCCCCACCGAGCTGTGGCTGTCGCCTGCAGAGCCTCCCGGTCGTGGACATCCCTGTCCCCTCTGCCTCACTTCCTCATCCGCAGTTCGGCTCCTCCAGCTCTCTTCAGGTTCCCTGCGTAAACCGAGTCCCGTCTCCTGCAGAGGCCCGGCTCTCAGAGAAGCCCTCGGCACTGACCCCGAGACCTGGCCTGGCCCCCGGGTCCCTCTGCAGCCACACCAGGCTCCTCCCAGGCCCTGCCCAGGGCGCCACCCCGCTGGCACCTGCTTCCTGCCTCTCTGCCCCTTGGTCTCACTTCTGTCACTGTGCCATGGTGGGTGACACTGAGCTGACGTCACCCACCTGGAATCTGTCTCCTCCAACGCTGCTGGGCCCCGTGGCACGGGGGACTTGTTCTTCATCGCGCTGTCCCTTCACCTGAGCAAGGGCGGGTGTAGGTGTGGGCGGGGCTGGGGTCAGTGGCCTCTTCCATGATCTCACGAGCAGCACTGAGCATCAGGCATCTGGGTTTGCCTGGCTTCCCCTGCTCCTGTTGTTTGTGTATAAAGAATACTTGGAGCCAGGCGTGGTGGTGCTCGCCTGTGATCCTAGCCGTCGGGAGGCTGAGGCAGGAGGATCACTGGGACTTTAGGCCAGATGGGTTACTCAGCAAGAGGCTGTCTTAAAAAACCAACAAGTAAAAACAGATGAGTATTTTCTCTTTTAGCCAAAACTGTCCCATTGGTTGCAGTACTGTTTTAGGTTTCCCTGTTTATTTTTATTTTGTTTTTTACTGGGAATCGCACTCATGGCCTCAGGCTTGCCAGGCAAGCACTTATGCCGCTGAGCTATATCCCCGGGAAGTTTCCCTGTTTAAAATCTGTACTTTTTGTCTTGCCACAGCCCAATGATGATCATTACTCAGAAGATCACGAGTTTGGCCTATGAAATCCACGATGGTAAGAATTCTGAAGTTAGTTTTTCTGTCCAAATAATCTCTCACTTTAGGTCACCCGCAGCTTTGTGCTCTGTGATGCTTGCGAAGAAAGGGAGGAACTTTTCCTCTTCTTCCTTTTTGCTACTGACAAGTAAAAGAATTCACTACCTCGCTTTGCAGAGAATGGGGGAAAAGACTGATGACCTTTAAAAAATCTCTGGAACTTGTCTAGAGCCTGGCATGGTGGTTCACACTTCTGATCCCAGCACTAGGAAGGCTGAGGCAGGAGGATCCCTATGAGTTCAAGGCAAACCTGAACTACATACCAAGACCCTGTCTCAAAAAAACAGACAAGAAAACCTCAGGAACTTACCCCCCTGGGGGAGTGTGCAGCCCCTGCCTGAGCCCCTGAGGATGCGGAGCACTCTTCCCGCCATGGCAGAATCCGTCCTCGGGGTGCATGTGCGGTGGGTACAGGTGGGGTCTTCTGCTCCTTCAGCTTCTGGTTGACCCTTCGCAAGCCCCAGGGTGACCGGTTGGAGGTCTCTTCCCGGGTGATCAGGTCCCTGCCGCGTCTCCCAGTTCGAGCGCTGTCCTGGGGCTGCGCTGTAGCCAGTCTCATTCTTCAAGACGCTGGGAAAGTGCACTGTGACCTTCAGGTGCTGAGACTGCCTGGAGCACAGGTACAGGATCAGAGACAGGACTCCGTCCGTAGGTCTGGATGCAGCTGCTCACCATGTAGAATCCACTCAGACTAAAGTCCAGCCGAATTTCACTTTGGGACCTGCTCTTCCCCGTGGAGCTAGGAAAGTCGTCTCTGTAGAACATTTCGAGTTCTGATTAGCCTTGGCAGTGTCTTTCAGAATTCCAGCCATTTAGTTTTTCAGAGAAGGTCTTTTTTGGTTTTTTGATCTTTAAGACAAGGTCTTGCTATGTGTTGCAGGCTGGCCTTGAACTCACTATGTAGCCCAGGCTGGCCTCAAGTTTGTGGCAGTTCTCCTGCCTCAGCCTCCAAAGTGCTAGGATCACAGGCATGTGCCACCATGCTTGGCTAATCAGGGAAACATTTTGGGCATGGTTTAAGACTTCTCATCTGGATCGAGAGCACCTGAGGCTGCCATGGCTCAGGATGGGTAACGGGACCCCCAACTGTGCTGGCCTTGTCTCGCTCTCAGCCTGTCTTGGGCGTGTGTAGCTTGCCTTCCTCTAGCAGCCTCAATGCGGTGCTTGTACCTGATAAGAGTGTCCTGTTTCCCCTCATATGCAAGGCTGCACTTTTGGTACTCGATTAAACTCCTAGCATCTTGTGGCCAGGCATGGTGGTACACACCTATAAATCCCAGCACTCAGGAGGCTGAGGCAGGAGGGACCTTGCCAAAACAATAACACCTCCCAAGGGCATCTTGTCATTAATCTAATTTTGGTCATTCTATTCATAAGTCCCCAGGTTTTTCACTGAGAGAGGGCTGGGCCTGTTGGGAATATAGGTTTTTTTTTGTGGAGAGGGCTTGAGGCAGGGTCTCATGGTGTAGTTAGCGCAGGCTGGCCCCAAACTAACTCATGGCAGTCCTGCTGCCTCAACCTCCCGAGTGCTGGGATTACAGGTGCACACCACCACACCTGGAAGTTGGGCATGTAGGTGTAACAGAAAATTGTCAAATGAAAACCTGTGGGGCTGGGGATATATAGCTCAGTGGCATAAGTGCTTGCCTGGCAAGGGCTAGGTTGTGAGTTCGATTCCTGGTACCAAAAAAAAAAAAAAAAAAAAAGAAAAGAAAACCTGTGCTGTCTGTTGCTTGGGCCATTGCAGTTCTGAAACGGCCCAGCCTGTGTGATCAGCTTGGAGCTGGTGTAGGAAGCACCCTGTACGCAGCACTGAGCCATCCCTCCTGAAGGGAGGAGCCAGCATTTTATATGTAGCAAAGCTCGCAAGCAGAAGGCGCAAGAGAAACAGTAACAACAGAGGGAGGAGAAGAATGGGAGCTGTATTTGAGCTCAGCGCCCTTGGTGGGAAGCGCAGGCAACGCTGTATCTGTCCCTCTGCTTCCAAGTGGGGTTTTTGTTTCCTTCTGATCATAGAAAGCGGATACATGCTCACTACCTGTGCTGGAAAAGTGCAAAGAAGGGGTGAAGGTGCTCTGTGTCCCTCCCTGACTTTCTCTGGGTGTCTGAATATCTCCTGCCCTCCAGTGAGCTGGGCAGTGATCCCCTGTCCCTCACTGCTGGGCACCCGGTTTGCTTTTCATTGTGTGTAAGGCTGTGATGATCCCCATCCCAGAATTTGGATCACGCCGTCACTTCTGGCCAAGGGTTGGGCTGAGGCTAGGTCTGTTGCACAGGTTTATAAAGAAGATTATACGAACTCCTCTTAGTGCTTCATTGATTTGCTTATTTATATTCTTTCTCTCCTCTAGAATGTAAGTGCCAAAAAGCAGGGAATTTATTTTTCCTCAATCCCAAGAACAGTTCCTGGGGATAATGTTTTGTTTTGTTTTGTTGTGTGTTGAGACAGGATCTTGCTGTTGAACTCACTGTTCAACCAGGGTACCTTTGAATTGATAGTGACCCTCCTGCCTCAGCCTCCCAAGTGCTGGGATTACAGGGTTGCACCACCATGCCTGGCTCCTGGGGACGTTTTGAGGCAATAATGTTTTTCTTCTCTGTTTGTGTGTATATATAAAATACAGAAAAGTGTGTCTATTCCACAAGCGAGACAGTGCTATATGAACGAGGCCTTTTAAAGTTATATATCTTATCCTTTGATACAGATTTCTTAATAACTAATGTTTTCATTGTTAATCATGAAAGTAGTATTTGTATGTTAGTTGGATACTTATATTTCTTCTCTGATTTTTAGTGTTTCTGTTTTTGTCTCTCAGTGTCTTGTTGTTGTTGCTTTTCTTTGAGACATGGTCTTGCTGCAGAGCCCAGGCTGACCTTCAACTTGCTATGGAGCCCAGGCTGACCTCGAACTCAGCCACCTTCCTGCCTCAGCCTTTCAAGTGCTGAAATCATAGGCGTGTACCACCATCACCATTTCTCAATGTTCTTAAAATTGCATTAGTTTTGATTTGGGGGGTATTCATATTTTTATTTGCTGCAAATATTTTTTGAGTATGCTCTTTGCTTCTTAATTTAGTTGCCCTTGCACTGTAGGGTTGGATTTAGGGTGTGTTTTGAAAAGCATCAAAGAAGGCCTGCATGCGTCCAGGCATCACCTCCTCTCAGGGAGGGGGCCGTGTGGCTGGAGACAATGCATTTGTGTTTAGGTTCTACTCCCCAGAGTCATGGAGAAAGAAGGCCATCAGCCCTTGCTTTGTGCTGAACTTCTCACCCATAGTACTGGTGTTTAGTCATTGAAAGTGCCCAATAATAAAAAATTCATGATAGCTCTTTTTGAAAAGTCACAGCATTTACTGTTTTTTCTTCTTTTTTTTTTTTTTTTTTTTTTTTTTTTTTGTCTTTTTGAGACAAGGTCTCGCTATGCCGTTCAGGCTGGCCTTGAGCTCACTGCATTTGCTGTTAAGGAAAATAAATTTCTGAATTTAAAAAGCCTACTAGCAGCCAGGCTTGTTGGTGTACACCTGTAACCTGAACACTGAGAGGCTGAGGCAGGAGGACTGCAAACTGGAGCCCAGTCTGGGGAACTTTGCAAAAAGTGAGGAAAAAATAAGATAAAAAAAAACACAAGAAAATGTGGGTATAATGGTAAAAGATAAATAATAAAATGCAAGAAGATGTGGGGATGTAGCTTAGTGTGAAGGCCCCGGGTTCAGTCCCCAGTGCTGTGAATGGGGAAGATTCGCGTTCTCCTAGCAGTCACAGTTGATCAAAGCCCCTGATCTTCATTACAGGAATGTTCCGAAAGGATGAAGACCTGACTCCATCCCAGCGAGGGCTTGCCGTGAGGTAGGGGATGCTCTCTGGGGTCCTGCCGTCTCCCCTACCCTCTCTGTCCAGGACCCACATCGCCTGCATAGCTAAGTCCTCCCAGGATGCTTAGCTGGAGAGCTTCGGGCATTCTTCCTCTGTACCCCTCTCTTCCACCAAATCCTTTTTAGTTTTCTGTGACCGACCGTCACTATATGTGGCCCAGGTGGGCCATGTACTCATGGTGACCCTCCTGTCTCAGCCTCCCGAGTGCCGGGATTCCAGACATCAGGGGTGTGCCACCATGCCTTTGCCACCTAATCTTGCTGTACGGGGCTGGGCATCTTTTGTGGGGCCACCAGAATCTTGCCTGGGTGCTTGGACATAGGGCGCCCCCCTGTGGGCCACTGGGCTACCTGTCAGAGTTCTAACTCTGAGACCTGGATTTCCTTGAAGATAGGACCAGTAGCATGTCTGCTGGATAGAAATGACAGCAGTCACAACCCCAGGTATAGACCCCACCTGTGACAGCTGTTGGACAGCACAAAATCATTAATGTAGCACAAGGATGCCCTGTTCAGAAATACCAGAGGACCAGTCAGATACTGCTTATTACTTGAGGAATCCCTTCTGAGACAGGCTTCCCTCCATTTATTATGTGTCTGAAGGGAGGGCAAAGGGATGGCTTAATTTCGGTCTCAATCTAATAATATTAGAGATCAAATACTCATTACACTTAAAGAAACATGTCCCTCAACTATCTTGTTTCTAAATACAGAATTGGTAGACACACAGCTGTTAGAAGGAGGTGACCCCATGACAAGTAGTTAGACCTTTGATCCCAGCTAGCAGGTCTTGGGAATTTCTTAGATTTTCCCTGTCTTTGAAAACACTTTTATTTGTGAGTCGGGCCTGGTGGCACCCTCCTGTAGTCTTAGCAGTTGGGAGGCTGAGGCAGGAGGATCACTGCCAGTTCGAGACCAGCCTGAGCTACATAGTGAGTTCCAGGCCAGCCTGAACTACGTATTGAGATGCTGTTTCAAAAAGCCAAATCAAAAGAATGATGTCTTGTCCTTGCAAACTTTGATACATGGTTTGACTCGGTAAGATGGGGCCCTGCGGTGTAACCTGACCTTGTTTCTAGTCTGGAAATAATTGGCGTTCAGAGCGGAGGACAAGGGCCCCATTGTCCCATCCGGATTGTCCCCGGGTGCCAAGCAGTGCTAAGGAGGAGGAAACCTGCCAGCAACATTGTCTCTCTCGTCAGCGAGTCTAAAAGGGACATAATTGAGACCCAAGACGCTTACATGTAGGAAAATAACTCTGGAAAACTTAGAAAACTTCTGGCTCAGCTTTACATAGATAGTGGCAGAGGGCAGGGTGCCCGGGGCTGTTCTTTTGGTTATTTTAAAATCAGATTAATGGCCAATAATATGTGGTGTTCTCAGCCTGTCTACCCACAGCGTGTTTTCACGGAGAGTGGCACGTGGCCAGAGGGGAGGATGGGATGGTGCCCTGCTCGCTGTCCCCGGGAGGGACAGTGGGCAGTAGACAGGGGTGGTAGACTTGATTAAAGGAGCTCCCCACCATCTGTATGGTGACCTGTGTGGTCCACATGGTCTTCTATGTTGATTGTCCATTTCTACCTGTTTGCTGCATGCTTGGTAAACTTGTGATACCGTTGTTGTCTGGACAGACCTCAAGACAGAGATCAAAAAACTTTTCAGCCAGGCGTGGTGGCACAGGCCTGTGATCCCTGCACTCGGGAAGCTGAGGCAAGAGGATCTCGAGTTCAAGGCTAGCCTGGGTTACATAGCAAGTTAAGGCCAGCCTCGGTGACGTAGCGAAATTCTATTGCAAAACTACAAGAAGAGGGCCGGGGATACAGCTCAGTGGCATAAGCACCTGCCTGGCAAGTGCAAGGTCCTGAGTTCAATTCCCGGTACCTAAAAAAAGCTACAAGAAGAAGCCTTACTGTCGTTTTCCGTCTCATTCAGAATAAAACATGCGGTTCCTACCGTGGCTCCTAATGGAGTGCCACCCGATTCCCCTGAGCCCTGCCGCTGGGCACCCTCTGCGCGACCCTCCTGGCCCTGCCTGAGTCCTGGTTGCCAGTAGCCACCCAGCCTGTGGTTTCCACCCATTCCCAGACCGAGCAGTGAGGCCTCCCCTGGCTCCCTCCCACAGGAGAACACCCTTGTCTCTGGGCGCAGCATCTCGGGAAACTGTCAGTGCATAGTGCGGGTCTCACTGTACGAGCTCCCTGTGTGAGCTCGGGTGCAGAATTTCCCTTCCCTTTGTCCACGGCTGTGTGTACCGGCCCTGGCACTTGCCAGGCACGTGGTTGGTTAGTGGGTACAACTTAATTTCTTTTGGGGGAGCAGTACTGGGGACTAACCCAGGGCTTTCACACTGAGCTACATCTCCAGCCCCTCCCCTTTTTTCATTTTCTATTATTATTATTTTTATTTATTTATTTATTTTTGTTTTTTGAGACAGGGTCTCACTATGCAGTTCAGGCTGGCCTTTGAGCTCACTTTATAGGCCAGGCTGGTCTCAAACTCACGAAGATCCTCCAGCCTCATCATTTTCTATTTTTGAGATAGGGTCTTGCTGAGTTACTCAGGCTGGATTTGAACTTGGGATCCTCCTGCCTCAGCCTCCTGGAGTGCTGGGATCCCAGATGTGCGCTACCGTGCCCGCTGGTCCCGTGTGCTGAGTTGTGGTTTTTCCATTGCAGGCGTATGCCCAGCCTCCTGGAGTATGTGAGCTACACTTGCAACTTCATGGGCATCCTGGCAGGCCCGCTGTGCTCCTACAAAGACTACATCACGTTCATCGAGGGTCGTGCATACTACAGGGCACAGCCGAGTCACAACGGGAAAGAAGTGGCTCAGGGGGAGCGAGTGGACCCGTCTCCAAAGGTGCGCATGCACGTCCCCCAGCCTTCCTGGCCTGCGCACTGTTGTAGCCTCTGTCTCTCTTGGCCATATAGTCATGTTTCATACGTTGGGTTTCCCCAGCTGTGTCTTTCTGAAGGTGCTTCAAGATACCTGCTGTTTAACAGTGGCTCTCCCACTGCTGCTTACTAACAATGCAACTGTGATTAAAGAGCAACTGTGATTAAAGAGCTTGGTACACGCCGGGAATCCCAGCTCTCAGGGAGGCTGAGGCAGGAGGATCACAAGATGAATCCCAACCTGGGCAATTTAGTGATGAGAGCCTGCTTCAAAATAAAAAATGAGAAAAGGGCTGGGGATGTATAGCTCAGTGCAAATGCCCAGGGTTCAGTCCCCAGTACTTTGAAGAAAGGGGAGTATTTAGAAACCATCAGTTCCTTAAAGAAAATAATGGTGTGTAGTATGGGATATCATGCAGCCCCTCCAAGCAAGCCCGAGCAAGCCAGCTGCCCGGGCTTTTCTCTTGCCTGTGCTGTGCATTTGGCTTGGAGCACCAGAATGCCGAGGGCACTGTGGGTCCTGAGTTTTACTTACTTATTTTTGACCAGGGGGTCATAAAAAATGCACTGAAGGGATTCCCCTCTGTTAACTTCCTGAAAGAGTTACAGACTATTGCAGTGATCCACGCATCCCCATGTTCCTAGCAGCATAACTCATAATAGCTGCATCTTGGAAGTGGCCCATAAGTCTGTCAACAGGTACAAAGCAAGTGTAACATTTATATACCATGGAGTACTACTCTACCATAAAAAAGGGTAAACATGAGTCATCTGTAGGAAAATGGATACACCTTGAAAGGTTATAAATCAGACACACAAGCTTGAATGTCACGTGGTTCCTCTTATATGAGAAGCCCAAAGAATAAATAAAGAGTAAAGGGTAGATAGTACGAAGTGGGGAGGTGGATCTTTCCCAGAGTGAGGGGGACCAAGAGATGGAGGGAGGCGTGGGAGGAGGGAGGGGGTCCAGAGAGGGATCACAGCGTGCTAAGTCTGTGCACCAGCTCTGCACACGGCGCAGACGCTCCTCACTGCAAACGTGGCTCATACAGTGAAAACCCGAACGTCCCCGGCAGAGGGCGCAAGGCTGATGCTGACCGCGCCCTCCTCCCTCGCAGGCGGCGGTGACGCAGAAGCTGCTCGTGTGTGTGCTGTCCCTGCTGGTGCACCTGACCGTCTGCAGCGCGCTGCCTGTGGGCTACAACATCGACGAGCAGTTCCGGGCCACGGCCTCCTGGCCGACCAGGGTGGCCTACCTGTACGTCTCTCTGCTGGCTGCCCGGCCCAAGTACTACTTTGCCTGGACCTTAGGTAAGTGCAGGACTTCTGTGCTGTGTTGCGGAGCATCTCACCTTCGAAACAGCTGTGAAAGTGCCCCTGTTTGAATTGTTGCTGTTAATTTTTTGTGATGAGGACTCCCTGTGTTGGCCCGGCTGAATTCCTGGGCTCCAGGGATTCTCCTGTTTCAGCCTCCCCAGTAGCTGGCGCTGCAGGCCAGCACCACCACCCTCTGGCTCATGAGCGCCCTCTGGAGACCATCTATGTAGCTCAGTGTGTAAGAATAATCCTCAGTGGATCAAAGCCTATTTTATTATTCTGTGGTAAGAATAAATGAATGAGTTGGGCATGGTGGTGTAAGCCTCTAATTCTACCACTTGGAAGGCTGAGGCAGGAAGATTGCTATGAGTTCAAGGCCAGCCTGGGCTCCATAAGGAGTTGACAGCTGCCAAATTTGAATTTGCCTCTGTGTACCAAGGGGCACGGCAGAGCTCAGCCAGGATGCAGCTGCCTGAGCGACAGATCGGGCTGCACCCACCGGAGAACTTGGGGGATGGGGATGTGAAGGTTGGCTTCCGGTTTGATTTCCACGGGTGGCACTCCCTGGGTTGGCCCTCTTAGGATCTCAGCAGGTGGTTAGGGGACTGCAGGAGGCCAGCAAGGATGGCAAGAATGAAGGTTTGAGGGAGTCGGTGACCATGGCAACCGTAGGGAGGGGTGTGGCCATTAGTAATAGATTTTACTTAGAATTCTATTAAATAAGAACATTGCTATGTGGATCAACGGACCTGGGAGACTCGTAGTCATTGGCCCATGGCTTCTGACTGGTTTGTCACACAGAGGGACAGATCTCATTTGTTTATTCCTTTTTCCCTAAGGTCTAATTATTTTTAAATCCCATTTGATGAGTAAAACACACTAACAAAGAGTAAAATGATCTAAAGATGTTTATTATTTTGATGGATTTGGGGTTCTTCATTCTTTTGTCCTGGAACAAATGGCATAAACCATAGTGCTTTTCCAGTTGGTTGGGAAAGGGCCGATTTCAGGCAAAAACTTCCTTTGCAGCTTCATCCATTAGGTGTGCAAAGCAAAGATGCCTAATTACGCCCAGTGCTGCAGAAGGTCAGGAAACAAACTCTGGAGCCTTGTGTAGACTGCGTTCTGGGGATATCGAGGAAAGAAAGAAAGAGCAAAAACGTGTGCCTCCTCCATATGTTCTTATTTAAAACAAAGGTCAAATGTGAGACTGCCTTAGTCCCTTTGCTCATCACTGATGCCTGCAAATTAAAGGAGGAGAGGTTTATTTGGGCTCACATTTCAGTCCATGCTTGGAGGGAGAAGGGCCTGGTGGAAGAGAGCTGCTCAGAGCATGGTGCACAGGAAGCAGAAAGGAAGGGAGTAGATGAATCTTTCCAGGTCACGCCCCCAGGTCTGCCTCTTCCGGCCAGGCCCCTCCTTCTCATGGCAGATCAATGCTAAGCTCCAGTCATCCAGTCACCTCCCAGAAGCCCTGCTCTATACAAGCTAGGCCTTGGGGGACACCCAGACCTAAGCCAGGACGGACGAGAGGTGCAAAGGACAGCATATCAGATAGTGTGCATCTTCTGCGGGAAGACAGCAGATGGTACAGAAGTTCTTAGTCTTTTTTTTTTTCCTTTCTTTCTCTTTGCCACAGCGGATGCTATTAATAATGCCGCAGGCTTTGGTTTCAGAGGATACGATGGGAACGGGGTGGCTCGCTGGGACCTCATCTCCAACCTGAGGATTCGGCAGATAGAGGTTAGTGAGTCACTAGGGAGTCCTGGCTGTCCTCCTCCCGATGCCTGTCCTTGGGATCAGGGCTGTCACTAATGACGGTTGTTACTGGTGATCGTGGCCTTGTGACCCTGACGGCCAGGGTCCAGTGAGTGCCACAGGGACTGTCCTGGCTCTGTGGAGCGTGGGCCTTGTGAGCAGGAAGGGGGATCGTGATCTGCGAGGTGTGGGCCTGTGCGGTTTAAAAGCCCCGACTGGGCCTAGCATAGGGGCTCCAGAGAGCAGGTCCGAGTGACGCAACCTGGAGATGTGGGTAGGAGGAGCACGGGCGGCGGGGGGTGGTGGGCACAGTTTTTAGTGCTTTTCTAGGCCTGGTAAAAATGACAGGCTGCGGAACCAGGAGGTCCCTGGGATGACAGGCTGCTTGGGCGGTCCCTTGTGTAAGGACGGGCCCAGGTGGGAGCCACAGCCGAGGGTACAGGTAGAGACCTGCTTTTCCTGATGAGGCCGGAGCCAGGTGGCACCCAGAATCCAAGTCACCAGGGACCTGAGGGGTGACGGCGGAGGAGCTGTGCCTCCGGGCAGCCGGTGGCAGAGCTTAGAGACGATGCTGGGGACACACTGGTCCCCAGTGGGAGGGATGCTCACTACGGGGCTTTGTGGTTTCTAGCAGGACTTTCCTGTTGCTGTCTCCTGACAGCTTTGTGGATGTCACCACACCAAAGAAAGTGGCGATGGTTATTTACCTTCCCCTGTCCCAACAGGAAAAAAACTCCCTTATGGAAGGATGTTACGGTATCACAAAAACAGTGTCAGAAAGACAGAAGTGAACCTGGCTTGGTGGTATTGTCGTCCCAGCACTCAGGAGGCAAAGGCAGGAGGACTACCCATAGTTTGAGGCCATCCTGGGCTACACATTGAGACCCTATCTCAAAAAAGAAAAGAGAGAAAAGAAACAAATTATTAAACTATCATTGTGAAGTAATTTTTTAAAAATGTGCATGAGTCCCCATTTGCAGTGCATGACGCTCAGCTGGCGCATGTACATATCACACGGTGATTCTTTCTACCTCCCCGCCCCTCGCCTTCCTCCAGCTCTTGGTCCCCTTCCCATTTGTAAAAGATTTCTCTCCCTGTTTCTATCTTTAACTTTGCTTTCATTTATTTATACTTCGGGTTGCTCGTCTGAGATGAAGTTTTCATTTCTGGCACCATAAAACGCTATGAATTCTACTAAAGTTCTCTTATTCTGTTTGCCAAAGAGGAAGAGTGCTTTGTTTTTCAGATGTCGACCAGTTTCAAGATGTTCCTGGATAACTGGAACATCCAGACAGCACTGTGGCTCAAAAGGTGTGTCCCCCCGGCTGAATGTCACTGCCATCACATGCTCAACAACGCTGTGGGCAGTGTGTGGTGGGATGGCTTGGGTGTCCCCAGGAGATGTGGCGAAGCCACCCTGCAAGGCCTGTCACAACTGAACTCTCTGGGTTGAGTCCTGAGTGTCCCTGATGCTGTCCCCTCGGCCTCCTTCAGGCCTCTGCCAGTGTCTCCCACTGGTGTCCTCTCCTCCGCTAGAGATTTGGATGTAGCTGGGTGTCGTGGCACATGCCAGCACTCAGGAAGCTGAGGCAGGAAGATCAATGCAAGTTCAAAGTCTAACCTGGACTTGGTAGTAACACCTTGTGTCAAAGAAAAAGTTCTCAGTGTTTTTAAAGGAAGTATTGAAATAATGTAGACTATAATCCTAACCTTAAGATTCATTAAAATTTATTTCTGTAAACTGTATAGACTCTCGAACCCTAGGAATAATCGTTTTGATGATTTTGTGTACCAGGGAAAAATGGGAGGCTGGGCATGGTGGCGCACACCTGTAATTCCCAGCACATGGGAGGCTGAGGCAGGAGAATCACTGCAAGTTCAAGACTAGCCTAGGCTACAAAGTGAGCTCAAGGCTAGTCTGAATTGCATCATGAGACCCCGTCTCAAAAAGACAAAAAAAAGCGGGGGCGATTCAATTTCCATCCCTGAACCATATGACCCTTAACTGCAGGATGGCAGCCAGGGTTGTCCCCTGTGCTACGTGGCGTTTGCTCCTTTGGCCACCCCACCCCACTCCTACCAAGGGAGAGAGTGATCAGGGGTGGGTGAGCCCGCCACTCACTTGGATTCTGTCTTCCCCTCCTCAGGGTGTGTTATGAGCGAGCCACCTTCATCCCGACTGTGCAGACCTTCTTCCTGTCGGCCATCTGGCATGGCGTGTACCCCGGCTACTACCTGACGTTCCTCACGGGCGTGCTCATGACTGTCGCCGCCCGGGCTGTGAGTGTGGGAGCCGCGCCTGTTCCTCAGCACTTTTGGGTCTCTTGTACCAAGTGGATGTTGGCTGGGGCCATGTGCCTGCCCCCGGCCCCGAGTCCCCGAAGCAGCTCACTGTTCATGTTCCTGGCATGTAGAGGCACTTGCAAAATGTCACCTGTTTTAGCATGGCACACGCTTGCTGTTTCAGCACTCAGGAAGCTGAGGCAGGAGGATTGCTGCAAGTCTGAGGCCATCCTAGGCTATATAGTGAGACCCTGTCTCAACAGACAAACGAAAAACACAAAACTACAGAAAAGTTGCAATAAGCTCTTTAGGCCCTGTCCCCACATCTACCAGCTCACATCTTATTCTACCCATTGCAAGTGCGCGCGCACACACACACACACACACACACACGCATGTGCAAGCCTTTCCTGCACTGTAGACCCTACCAGCTGTGTATGAGCATTGTCCATCTGCACCCCGAATTGCTGAGGTCACCGTGGTGACTTCACGAGGTTCATTTCGAGACAGTGAGTCTTCTCTGTTCTGGGTTTCAGATGAGAAGTAACTTCAGACATTACTTCACGGAGCCTCCGCAGCTGAAGTTCTGTTACGACGTCCTCACGTGGACGGTGACGCAGATCGCAATAAGCTACACCGTTGTGCCCTTCGTGCTCCTGTCTATAAAGCCGTCCCTCACCTTCTACAGGTCAGCGTTTCTCTTCGGATTCATCAGTGGGAAGAATGGTAGTATTTTTTCTTGAGATAGGGTCTAGCTATGTAGTCCAGGCTGGCCTTGAACTCATTGCATAACCCAGGATGGCTTCCAGCCGGTAGTGATCCTCCTGCTTCAGCCTCCGAGTGCTGGGGTGACAGATGTGTACCACCACACCTAGCTGCATAGTATTTTTGAAGGAAAGTCCAAAATTGGAAAGAAAAATAGTACTATGGCCTCATATGCATTATACTGTCTTATCCTAAACCAAGCAGTTCTGTTTCCTCATAGATTGACTCTGCTTACCCGGCCCACATCTGAGCTGTGGTTTAGACAGGCACTGCTGCTAACCTCTGGCTCTCAGGAAGCGTTAGCTAGAAGCCTAATAATTGTCCAGAGCCACTGAGGCGGACAAGGAATTCTTTACAAAAAATGATGTTAATAAGCACTTTCTTGTTTATGTCCTCTGTAGCTATGGCCCTGTGACCTTACAGAAGACTGTAACACTTTAGTCTCCAGCTTACCAGCAGCTGGTGTAAACAGTGGCTTATAAATAACCCCAGCTGCCAGGCTTGGTGAACATGCTGGAACCCCAGCACTGAGGAGGCTGAGGCAGGAGGATCACTGAGAGTTCAAGGCCAGCCTGGGCTACATAATGAGTTCTAGGCCAGCCTGAATTGCATAGCAATACCTTGTCTCAAAAAAAGAACCCCAAATTAAAAATAAACAAATACCCTTACTAAACTCTGGAGTTCTACTTCCTGAGGGGAAAGATAGAAGAATAATTAGTGAATAAATACTCCCCAAGCGGGCCTGTGGTGTGTGGACACGTGCATTATGGACTCCTACTTATTATCAGAATTTGATAAACTCACCCGGGGCTGGGGATTTAGCTCAGCGGCAAAAGCGCCTGCCTGGCAAGCGCAAGGTCGTGAGTTCGGTTCCCGGTACCGGAGAAAAACCAAAAAAAAAAAAAAAAAAATAAACTCACCCAGGTGTGGTGGAGCACGCCTGGAATCCCAGCAATTGGGAGGCTGAGGCAGGAGGATCACCACAAGTTCCAGTGAGACTGTCTCAACAAAGAAAATTAAGAAACGGTTTTCCTTTTTTCTTTCAGCTCCTGGTATTACTGCCTTCACATTTGTGGAATCTTAGTTTTATTATTGTTGCCAGTGAAAAAAACCCGGAGTGGAGAGACTGCACACAAAAACCTCCAGACCTCACCTTCCCAAAAGTCCAACGAAAGAGACAGTTCTTTAGGGCAGAACAGCTTCTCCACGACGAACAGCATTAGCAGTCAGAACCAGGAGGTGGGCTTCAGACACTGGTCGCCCCAGCCGTGACACTTTGGTGGCGTAGCTCGGTCTCCACCGTGCAGGGCTCAGGTCGCCCGCAGACTGGCGGGGAAGGGGCAGCATGGAGGGCACGGCCAGCGCCGAGGGAAGCAGCTCTGCAGCCGTCCCTGGCCACGCCGTACTCGGAGTGTCCCATCCTCAGTGGGCACCAGTGACCCTCCCCGCTGCGCCCCCGAGGCCGAATGCATGCTGCGCATCCCGAGTGCGAAGCAGCAGAGATGGAATCGTGCCAGTCGGTGATTGCGACGGATTCACTTTTCCAAATGAATGTCTTGCCTTAAACCCTCTATCTCTGAAAATATTGTTCCTCGGTGGTCTTTTCAGGTGGAACGGTGTGAGAAGCCTGTTTCAGTATTCCATGTCGTATGCTGTAAAGGGATTTAGGAAGAATTTGAAATGGGATATTTAAGGTTGTGGAGACTTTTTTAAAAACGCAATAAACATCTCAGTATTTGAAGGGTTTTCTTAACGTATCTCCTGGCTGAAATTCATGAGCCAGGCGTGGTGACACACGCCTCTCATCCCAACACACTGGAGGCTGAGGCAGGAGGATCTCGGAGTGTGAGGCCAGGCTGGGATACATAGAGTTCAAGGCCAGCCTGGACTGCCTATGGAGAACCTGTCTCAAAAAAACAGAACCAAAAATAAAGTGAAATTCATAGTGAGACTGTCTGCTGTTCGGGTTGCCAAATTATAGGTAGCTGGTTTCGCTGGAGAGCTTAATTACCTTGTGGCAGTGAGAGAGCCCTACCAGGAAGAATTTTAAGCATAATTAAAGGTTGGTAATGTGATATTTTAAGCTTATTTTCTTTAAAAAAAAAAAAAAAAAAAAGATAAGGCCGGCCAACCTGCAGCAAGAGGCAGGACGTGCTCCCTTTCTGCATCAGAGAGCTGTGTGAGGCGTAAGAGTTTAAGAACCGGGTGTACTGTGGACCTTTGAATGAAATTTATCAGGCATAAGTTATATAAAATTCAGACAGGTATGATGTACACCTATAATCCCAGTACTCGGGAGGCTGAGGCAGGAGGATTACCATGAGTTCAAGACCAGCCCAAGCTACATAGTGGATTCAAGGCCAGAATGGACTACACAGTGTCTCAAAAAAACACAAAAAAGGTGAGATAGAATTCAAAGAGATCAGGAAACAGCGGTAGCTGGCCGGCAGGTTTTAAAGCAATGCCTGGTAATGCGGGTTACTCCCTGGCTAATCCCTTTCTTATTCTTGTCATTTTGATTCCTATGTGGGGACCGTAGGAGATTTGTAGGGAAATGAAAACTGAAGGGCGAGTCTGAGAGGCATTTTGGAGAGTCGCAGAGCGTGCAGGCTCTGCCTTCTCACACGGAAACGTTGCTGTGAACTCCTGATCCGGTGAGCCGCAGATGTGCAGGAGAACCAGGCTGGCGTGGGGCGCCGGCTTCACCGCAGTGAGCACTGGGGCCATGAGGTCCTGGGGCTGTGGCAGTGGACGGCAAAACAGCGAGCTTGGGGCGGGACTCAGGACATGGGCGGGGAGCATCTCTGTGCTTTGTCCTTTGACAAAGACGTCTCTGTCTTTTGACCAATCTTTTGTAGATTTTTCTGCCTTAAAATTTTTAATGAAATGCAAACCATCCATCTATGGATCACTAATAAACCTGTACATGAAGTTAAGGACAGAACACTCTGGCTGAGGCTGTGGAGTATTTCATTTAAGGAAGAAGGGGCAAAATGACAACGGATTGTTTTAGAACTTTAGAAGTACCCTTGCCTTTTCTTCCTTCCTTTGATTTTTTCCTTTTCTCTCTCTTTCTCTCTCTTTTTCTCTCTCTCCCTGTCCCTCTCCCTCCCTCCCTCTCTCTCTTTCTCTCTCTCTTTTTCTTTTTCGAACTCACTATGTCCCCCAGGCTGGCCTAGAACTGACAGCAGTCCAGCCTGCCTCAGCCTCCTGGGTACTCGGAGTGCAGAATAGGATTCAGTGTGTATTTATATTATTTTTTCACTCTTCAGACATATTGAAAACACTCAGACAGTATCAGTGAATATTATATTTATATTGGTTCCTTATTTTTATTTTTTTTTTTTGAGACAGGGTCACTTAAATTACCCAGGCTGGGCTTAAACTTGCGGCCCTCCCGCCTCAGCCTCCCACTTGGAGGAAACTGTGAGGGAAGAGGAGGCACAAATGGCTGGGGAGCCCCAGCTTTCCCGGCTCTTATCTTGCCAGTTCCCTCCCTTAGAGAAAGGACGTGCAGGAGTAGAGGGTGGATTTACTAAGAACTGCATTTCCGCCCCCGGTGCAGTTCAGAGCAGAGGAAGTTGTCATGGCAACAGGAAATCCTCTTAATCCATTAAATCAGAAGGGTGATAATGTGCCATTTCTACTGTCTCCAGTCCTTAAAATGTCTCTTTATATCATAGAGAAATAGACTCTCCTGGGGGGGAAAAGCATATTTTCCTTTTGCTTTCTGTGCCTTTTTGGTTTCTTTGCTATGTAAAATTAGAGAAGATGTGCTATGAAAGATAAATTTCTAGCCAGGAGGCGTGGTGGTGCATGCTAGTCAGGAGGCCGAGGCAGGAAGATCACCCCAAGTTCAAAGCCAGCCTGGGCTCCATAGTAAGACCCTGTCTCAAAAAACTTCTATAAATTTCTGACTTTACTGAACAGGGTTTACCACTATAAAACTTCTCAGAATTTGCTGTGTTCTAAGAAGTTGGTTAACCTTTATTTTAAACTACAGAAGATAACTCCTTTAGAATGTTGTCATGAAAATAGTTACACAGGCTATACTCTAATTTGAAGAATAAACTTTAAGGACAAAATAATGTTCCTTATTTAAAATTTATAGCTTATAAATATTTGTATATTCACAAACAAATTTGGACATTTATATTTAGTCTTGTTTATTCATAATTCTTAGATAATTGCTTTTAAGAGATTCTTTCTTTCTTTCTTTCTTTCTTTCTTTCTTTCTTTCATTCTTTCATTCTTTCAAGACAGGATCTTACTGTGTAGCCTAGGCTGGCCTCAATTCACAATGATCCTCCTGCCTCAGCCTCCTGAGTGCTAGGATCACAGACATGAGCCACCACGCCCAGCTAAGAGTTCTAGTTGTAATTGAAAGGAAAGTTACATGAGAATTCTTGTTTCCACACGGGGGCCTGTTGCTGTGTCTGCTAAGAACTCATCTAAACTCCACAGTATTATTAGGGGGGTTTATTTAGGCATTTAGAGTCCATCCTGGATGATATTTAAGTTAGGTGCAGAATTCAAAGTAACACTGTGAATGCAATCTCCACGGCCCTGTAGGGCCTCACACAGCTGTTGCTCTGGACCTAGGGGCGCTGGTGAATGGCTGCTCCGGTGTATACATCTCGCTGATGCTGAATCTCTGGTTCCTGTTGTACTTATAAGTGGGTTTCCGTCAATCCAGGCTCTCCATGATGCGGGGAAAGACTGCATTTTCTTTTGTTTGGTTTTTTTGAGACAGGGGCTCACTGTGTAGTTAATCCCAGCCTTGAACTATGTAACCCAGGCTGGCGTTGCACTCCTGGTGACCCTTCTGCCTCGGCCTCTCAGTGCTGGAATTAGAGGTATGCACCACCATGCCTGGCCTTGAGATTGCATTTTTAAAAAAAGACATCCACTCTGAAATTTGAATTGGAAAAAATTAGAATGTAGGAGGGTCTCTATAGCGTTTTTCGGCCACACCCTGTAGTCAAGTCTGTTTATAATCATTCTCCTTATGGAAGAAAACTGAAAATGAAATTTTCCACATGGATATTTTCTAGGAATGCTCTTCTAGTCAACCAGTTAGCTGCTTTTTCAGGCCCTTGTTGTACCAAGGATGCAGCCAGTGATTAAATTAAATTGGCAGGCTGCTTCATAATGTTTTGTATGTTTTAAAATAATATTTATTTTATTTTAATAGATTTTTAATATCATGCTGACTCCAATAAAGAACTGACAAGCTCCATAGATTGATTGGGAAAACTTAATGAGACAGAACCTAGAGACACATTTGTATGCCAACTAATTTGTCTTGCCTTTGAAAACTCATAACTCACTCTTCTTTTAGTACAACTTTTGTAAAGCAAAGAAAAACAAAAGGCCCAAGACTATATGTTGTATAAAATAACAGAAAGAGCCATGTAAAACTTACCCAGTAATATCTATTACTGACCAGTGATCCTCAGCTGTCTTCTCCAGCCAAGTTTTATCAAATTTTGCTACTATGAAAAGAAAACGGAAATATGATGAGAAACCGCAATATCCCAACAACCTGTGCCGTGTGACTGAGCGATCTCCTGACAGCGCACTTGGGTGGGGGAAGTGAGGCGCTGGCTGCTCCTTGCTAGGTTCGTAGATGACTGCTTTTGGCTTGGTCTCTACTTGGGGTTCAGTCCCTTGAGAAACTGGTTTGTCAGTATTCCTGTCTGTCCTTCCCGTGAGAGGGCAAAACATACAAAGAGAGTGTGACAGGCTTTTAGACTCTGCCTCTTTCGAGATCCGCAGTATTTGGGTTCTGACTGCACCGATTAGTTAGATCCTCAGGATGTTGGATCCTGAGGCCAAAGGACTCCGGCGTTGAACACGACAGTGTCCCCAGCCAGCCAGGTCATCCTGTCATCAGCTGGGGCCGTGACACAGGGAAGGAACGCAAGTCGCAATGATCCTGGGGAAACAAGGCTTCCATCCTACCAAGTTGGGGTGGCGGCTTATCCCCGCCGTCCTCCAGAGCCACAGCTCCCCTCTGTGGCCCTCGGCCACCTGCAGCGTCCCGACTCCGGGCCACCAAGGGCAGTATTTATACTTCCTCCCTGGGGGAAGTCTCGCGTGGGCTGTGCTTTCTGTTTTTAGCATTCCAAAATATTTTTTTAAAGAAGTGTTATTTTTCAACAGATCCCTAAACCAGGTCTTGCACAGTCGGTCGACGGGAGCCGTCACTGTCCCTTTGCGCTGTGATGGGACAAACCTGTGGCCACACCCTGCCTTGTCAGCATCCCCTGAGCTGAACTGGTGGCCGAGCGCTGGGTTTGAAAGGTGTTTTTAATGTACATGTTCTTCCTTTTTCTAATTTGTGTGTCTTTAAAACTGATTAAATGGTAGTTTAAAAGTACACGCCTGTGTGTTTGCTAATTTCAGAGTCTCTGAGTCCCATCCGTAGAAATGAACACCGGCCTTCATGGGAGGGAAGGGTCGTTTTATGAAGGATTCTTCCATAGGGTGACAATATTCTTGTCATTGATTCTTTTTCTCTTTTTTGGTTTTTTGAGTCAGGGTCTCACTGTGTAGTTGAGGCTGGTCTTGAACTCACTGTACAGCCCAGCCAACCTGCATCTCCCAGTGATCCTCCTGCCTCAGCCTCCTGAGTGCTGGGTTATATGCATGCACCACTGTGCCAGGTTGCATTTACAGACTTCAAAGCAGTTAAGACGAGTTTCGTGATGTATATGTCCTTTCCTTCACACTGGTGCAGTCTTTCCCTGA